AAGAGATCGACAAAATATTTTACTAAATTGTTATATGCGACATGTTGTTACACATAAATTTTGGTCGAACGGGTACGTTGACATAAAATGGGAGTTTTCTCCCCTCTCATATTTAAAACTAGCTGTATGGTGATATAACTCATTAACAATATATAGTACAGACCTAGGGTCTTTTGATTTGGAGTCCTTGATATTTAGGTCAAGGTCATAGGTAAATTTGACGTTCTAGATTTTTACCCTTGCTTTAACTTTATATTTGTAAATGATAGAGCCATGGGACTTCTTGCATTAGGTTGCAAGCCATATGACCTTGAAAAAGCCAACCAGAAGTGACCTTGTGTGAACCGGAAGTAGCTATTTTTTGTACTTATTTGATGTAAAAGTATATAGAACCATATATTTTGGGAATCAGTGTCAAGTAAACTATCATATTATACCAGAAGTGACATTTTTCAAACTAGAAGTATATTGAAACCATATATTTATTAACTAGAAGTGTATTGAAACCATATATTTTTGGAATCAGCGCATAGTTAGCTATCATCTGACACTGTAAATGACATTTTAAACTCGATTTTTATATTTTCTTATTAAAATACATGTTTTTTTTTTGGTGGAAAGACCTTCAATTGATCTCTGAACAATTGGTTTTTAATTGTATCTGTATTCTACAAAAAGGTTTTAATATCAATTGCAACACTCTTATATTGTCATATGCAAACTTTGTTATGTATTCATGGAAATGAATTGGTGTCAACATTCTTATCTGTTAAGTTATACTTGAAAATGTTTGATTCCGATATTTTTATGAGCTTTTGTAGGTTCATTTTAGAAACGTGTGGCAATATTCTATAAGCCCATCTAGCAAATAAAATTTATTTAATGACAAAAGAACATATTTTAGACATCCTCTGGCTATTTGCAGGCACCAGGTTAGACGGAAGACTTAGATCAGTGTGGTCGATAACCAATGACAATCCCGATAAAAGTAACCCAATACATGTATATAAATTTAGTTGGTCATTCAATATTTTGTTTCGCAATTTATTATAATAAATATATATATGATATCTATTAGAGAAGTTATATAAAAATGTATACATCATAGCAGTAAGAATACTAGAGAATTGGCCTCAAGCACATCGAAATTATTTTTAGACAGCACGAGAAACAAGCTGCCGCTTTACTTCAAGCGGTAAATATTACATTTAATTCAGGACGACTACATGTTGATGTTATATGGAGATATGTGCTTTGTATTAAAGATACGTTTTTTACAGTCTATTCTTTACAGCCTGCTAAAAATTGGTCTGTTTAACTTGGGCAGTGAGTGCCATTGATTAAGGAAAAAAAACAATAAGGCTTCATACTTTTGATGTATTTGAAGTACTTTACGTCATTAACCTTCATCGCGAACACTCCCAGCCAAAAATTGGAAAGTCAAAAAGTATATACTTGTGGAGCTGTATGAACAAAACTAATCCAATACGAATAGCCAAAATCAATCTATGGTCAAACTTTGCCTAAGAAGGTTTGATCATTATGTTCTTAATAATACAAATATTCGTCAACGGAGAGTTTTAAAAAGGTATGTTATTAATCATGTCCGTACCTGTTTTGGATATGTCTTCAACTGAATTCTTCTGTTGCCATGCGCAGACTTGATTAAAGCTCTACATTTTTTGGCCGAAAATAATTTGTTCGTCATTTCAATATTTTATATTGTCAAATTATCGGATTTCATATGGATACATGTATTTATGATAGTATATTACTCACTTATTTATCATATATCTATTTACTGTTTTGATCTTCTTTTATGGAAAAACTTCAGTAGGGAAAATATTTTTGTTACAAATTATAGCAGATACCGAGATGAGTTACCAAGTGTTGATAACCCCCTGATAATTAGATATTCTACAGATACACATATTTACATAAAAGAACTTCACCTGAACAAAGCTAGTTGTGGGAGTCAATTTTGTCCATTTTGAAGACAAACCTGTGTTTGTACATATTTTACATGGACATACGTATTTTTAAGAAATCGTTGTTGCAATTTCGAACGCAAATCCCATTGAAACATGTACGTCGTGCAGTCCTCTCTTATTTGTTTTATTTCCTTAGATAATTGGACCACGGTTAGTCGTTATTTTGAACATTATTTTCAAAAAATAAGCTTGTCGTTGGTGGTCAGGTTTGATACAACACAAAGACAAATAAATCATACATGAGAGAAATTTCAAAGACGCTTAATAAGATATGACAAATTTGTTTGCTAAACATAAGCGCAGGGTTTATTACTTATTCCGCTCTTTATTGATAAAGGAATTAGGTAGTGGAACTGCCTTAGAAACTCAACATATATCCCTACGACACTTACCACGGAGTAAATCGTGAATATTCATAGGTCGGTTCTATGTTCCTTTGGAATTTCAACCAAAGAAGAAGAACTCGATCTTCCTTCATTGTATTTGATACATAAATAACATAAGTTCCTTACAAACATCATTATATATTACTGGATTGTCCAAGTGCTCAACGATTCCTCCTTCTAACTTATCAACATAAATGTTATCAGCAATGAAAGCCGGGCTTTATAGAGTTATTTTGAAACAACCTAATCGTAGGGCGGCGTGTATCAGATGTGGATTCTTAAATTCCAGAGACCTGTTAGAGTAAATACAATCTTGGTTTCTTTTCTCTTGCAATAGTATTAAAACGTTTGATTTTTCTACATTGTCCACAAGTATTCCTTGTTCGAAACAAAAAGACAGTTTGAAAGAATCAGTCCTGCTTTGTCTCATAAAAAAATGTCCAACGTAAATACAGGTATTTTGTCCTATGGAGGGATAAATCTTACTTTGTAAAAAATCATTCTGAATCAAACAAATACTTCTATGAAACTGACATTATCAAGATGCGTGAATACAACAGATACAGTTAAGTCTGCCTCATATCTTTGCTTACATCTAAACTTTACAACGATGGTGAGTTGAAAAAAATAAATCTGTACGACAAAAGAGATGTGTTCAGCTTTCCATTTCTATTAAGCAACATTCCAGCAGCGCCTGCATATGGAGTATATTAATCCCAGTTGATGCGATATTCCATAGCTTGCATTTCGTGGCATGATTTCCGTGATAGAAGGTAACTGCTTACAAGGAAGCTATTAAACCAAGAGTTCCAACTGGTGAAGTTGAAATCGTCCCTTCGAAAATTTTTGGGACGCCATCACGAGTTGTGACCGTTGTGGAATATCTGTTTTTTTAGATGACGACGGATATGTTTCAGTTGTCTTTATCACAATTTTGTCCTCATATCCTCGAATGAGACCTATCGAATTAGATTTTATTACCGTGTTTGTACTTACATGAGTTAGCACTCCACAGTTAGGAAATAAAATTAAAATTGAACCACAAAATGTTTATTCATTTTTTATTCCTGGCTTTCTAATACATTACACCAAATGTTTGTGTCATACATGTGCATATGTATGTAACGAGTATCTTCCATATATTTGATTTTCAAAACTTAAAATGGTGAAATATAATTCTGTTTTGGGGTATCCATTGCAACAATATGCAGTTGTTTACAATAAAATATTGCAAAAAGGGGAACGAAATTGTCACATATCCCCCAAAAAATCGGTTTTAACTAGAATTTCAATCCCTTTGAATGATACCTTTTCTTAAACTTTTGACATCATTCTACCAAATGATCAAATAAAAACTAGGTGTCTTTTGCCTCATTTTTTCCTGAACTTGAATCACAAATATCGTTCGAAAAAAAACATTACAATAATTTCTGGACCAATGTCTAGATCTGGTATGGATATGACAATACGGACTGTCATACAGAAAACAGCCCATAGTACATACATTTCACAATCTAAATGTTCATATAAACCCACTATGAAGGGTATATTAATCTTTAGCTATCAAAAAATTAATTGTATTGCACACTAGCTTTCAAATTTGAAAAATACACCGGGGCCAAAATGCAAAACTACAGCAACACAACGATTGCCACATGTTAAGCAGGATCTGCTTGGTTTTCCGGAGCACCTTAGAGCACCCGGTTTTGGTAGGGTTTGTGTTGTTCAGTTTGTTGTTGTTTTGTTTTGTTTTTATCGTTTTTCGTTTTATGCAATGTCATTGTCACTGACAGTTTGTTTTCGACTAATGAATTTGAATATCCCTTTGGTATCTTTCACTTCTGTTTTAATTGATTAATCCGCGATTCGTTTACAAAATTAAACTGCATCGGTATAGATATCATAATTGGTGAACACTTTACCCAAGTTTATCCTAATATATTGCTTTTCACTGACATATACCTCACACAATCTTTAATTCAAATTGTAGAGATGTCAACTACTGCTAGGGAAAAATAACGTAAGCTAAAACACCTGCTCAGATTCCTGACCAAAATTTGATTTGCATAAACTAGGTCGCGTAGCATGTCATTGACAAAGCGTCGTTATAGAAGGCAACTTGTGCAAAGAAAACACATTAACTGTTAAAAGTGGCATATAAGAATGCGTTTTGTGCAAAATGTAGACGAAAATTACAAACGTAAACATTAAAAAGACCAACTTGATTACTCTTTAGGCCAGTTGTCATTCGTGTTTCAGAAATTAATATTTCTAAATGATATCGCTACAAGTTTACAGTAGTTGTCGTCTATTGTTAAAAATATGACGAAGAATATCAGTAATATTTCAAACAGTAATAATAATTTAAGCACTAATTAGGGTAATATAGTTAGGATGTATTCTTTAGACATTGGCATTTCACGTCACCTTAACATTAAAAAAAATATATTCCACAAACGGGACTCTCAAAAGGCAATACAATATTAACAATGAAACAGTAAAACAGCTAAGTTTAAGTAATACAGAGGGAATGAACGTTAAAAATTGAAAGAATGATACAAATCACAATTGCTTTTATATTGACAATAATTAATAATGAAGTACTTTGTGAAAGAAGACGTACCTTTCATCAGGAAATATTCACAGTAAATAAACAATTATAACTAGGAAGTTAATTTGTTTGCTATAAATTTAAAATAGAATATGATCCGTCAAGACTTACTTAACCAGTCAAGCGTAGATTGGAATATCGACAATGTTGTGTTTAAGGTGAAAAATAATTATTATACAATTCAGGACTGAGCTTGTGTACGTTTTTCACAGCTGTTAGATATAGGTTTGCACATTTCGAAGATTCAAACAATTATGAAAAAAGTACTGGGTAAGACTGGTTTTGAATATTGGATTCGTAAATGATAATCAATGAGCGAAGTTAGTCGAAAGTTGATCGTCGTTTCCAAATCCTCTACGTCTTATATATTCTTTAGTTTAACCCATTTCTAATAAAACGAGTGTCTGTTTTACGTTTTTACAATTATCATCAATCATCGGAATTTCATAAAGATAATTCCAAATTTTGTCTTTTTTATTCTTTAATAGTTAGAAATGATTATATCCACACCATTCACATCTATATTTAGGCATTCGAAAAGTTAACAAGAATTAAATATAACTTACAATTTCAAACATCTGTTACGGGTTGATTCTGCAAGTGCAAGAAGAGAAGCGAGATAGTTCCCATGGGAATGTCGATTTTTTTTTAAACATAACAAATATTTTGTCAATCAAGAAATCAAGCATCTTGCTAATGTCAGTTTCAGAGTATGTTTTGTTTGAATCAGAGTGATTTTTAATCAAGTGTGATGTATCCCCACATAAGACAAGACACTAGTATCTTCTTCTTTGTCATGAAACAAATCGAGATCAAGTTTTTCAATTTGTCTTTTAGTTTTGAAATGGGAATACATATGTTAAGGGTAGAAAATCAAATGTTTAATACTGTTACAAGAGGAAAGAGACTTAGATTGTATGTACTCTAACATATCTTATGAATTTTTAAGTATCCACAACTGGTTCACGTTGCCCCTAGTATAGGTAGTTTCACAATAACTTTGAATCCCGGCTTTGAATGTTGAAAAAATTGATATAAATAATCAGGAAGAAGTTTTGTAGATATAACGTTGCTTGTAAGGACACCTAATATGTAATTTAAGTATCAAATACAGTTAAGGAAGATCCAGTTCTTCATCTTTGGATGAAATTCGAAAGGAACATTAAACATACCAGGATTTCCTCCTTGGTAGGTGTCGCGGGGGTATAATGTGTATGTTGAGTATCCAAGTGAATTCTCAATACCTAGTTCCTTCATCAAGCAGTTTATGTAATGTGATTTACACACAACAATTATGTTGTTTTGGGCTTTATCAACACATTTGTTATTAAGTTAGGACATTTACTTTGCAATACTAGGGTCTTTAAAGATCGATGAAGCATGTTTATTCATAGACCCATTCAGGTTTTTTTTTTATCAAATTCTAATTGCTATCAACGACCTCACAGCAAACTGATTTATGACGAAGGATATTGCCCAAGTTGATGATATCGAGATCTTTGTTGGTAAAGGAAAGTTGTAGAAAGGATCTTTTCTCCTTTTCATCTTTTCCAATGCGAATTGGTATGAAACATCTGTGACTGGCAATATTCGAGAAGATAGCTATAAGTGTGTATTGATTTAAATAGGGGTTTGTAACAGTGGTTTCCAAACATATTTTGTACAGAGAATACAGTTTTTAAAGCGGTAGTGAATAAAGCTTCGTGTGAATAAATCACAATTTAAGGGCAATTACTCCTATAAAAAATCTACTCACGATTTCGGCAAAATTTGACTTATTCGAAGATCTTGTCTTGCTAGTAATCAGTGTCTATCCATCTCTTGTAGTTTTCAAGATGATAGGCAAAAAAAAATATTGGTAAAAATCATCATTAAAGAGCAAGAATTCCAATAAGGAGTTGACTGTCGATTTCAGCTGTTGATTTATTTTGTAGATCTTGTGTAGCTGATTATTTTTGCTTATCTGAGTTTTCATCCATCTAATATAGTTTTTCAAATACTAAGCAAAATCGCCAAAAAATGGTAAATTCGTCATTAAATAGCAATAACTCTAATAAGGGGTGGTTATACGATTTCAACAAGATCGTCTTGTATTGGGGATCATTTTTGCTCTGTAATGTTTTTTCTCTATCTATTATAATATTTAAGATATGAGGCAAAAACACAGAAAAAAATGATAAAAATCGTCATTGAAGGGCAATAATTCATATAAGGAACCGTCTGATGATTTCGACCATGTTTAGACCGTATGGCATAGTTACATTCTACCATGTGATCAGTTTTGTATATTTAGAGTCCTTGTTTCATATTTGTACTTTTCATAGTTGCATACACCTGAAGTTCTTTCCAAATCACTGACCAATTGTTAAAAGCATAAATAATGGAGGTAATCAGATGGAGCGCTGCATTTATTATTAACACATTATAATCTATCTGTAAGTTTACAAATTATTTAAATTGAATAGAAAACGATGTACAATCAAATCTGAAATTAGCTTCCATCAATTAACATTGCAGTTTATGTATGCTTGTATATTGTGATAGTTTGTTACGAGTAACCAGTTTTACATTTGTCGTTACACATATATTTACAGCAAAACAAAAGAAAGAGAAATATAACTTTCCACATGCTAAAGCACATACATAAACCAATAACAATGGAAAATTAAAGAATAACTGTAAACTATAAGTAGCAGTCGTTTCCTTTCAATGGCCTGGTAGTAAATCCAATACCATTATGCATCCTACAACTGTGACTATTATCGATACAGCTATATATCCCATGTTCCGTGAGGATTGGCGGTCATCATTTGCACTTGTTTTCCTCCGTTTTGTCGATGATAGTTTTGTCCTGTCAATTGTAAGGGATTTCTTCAGTGAATCAAGTTTTTCAGTAACTTCTTTTCCTGTAGTATCTACATGTTCAACACTCGTGCCAGTGTTCCATTCGACATTTCCAAACTTATTACAGGAACACTGGTTGCAAGATTCAACAGAAGTCTCAGTTTCTTCTACTGGTAATGTAAAAATGAAAAAAATACATATCCGAGAAATAATTATAGCTTACACAAGTCCATGTCAACTTTATATATCATAAGGGAAAAACTAATTTTAAAACCTATAAATTAAAGACATTTCCGTGCATAATTCATTAAGAAAAATATATCCAATACTCATTATATCAGCAAAACATTACACAGTAAACTACAGATTAAGTAACGTGATATTAATAAAAATCCGGGGAGAAATCAGGTTTTCAGAGGGGTCAGCAGTAACTGTTCCTACTCCACTATTTACATCCGTCACGTATATTCTTGTTTAGATATTATAAATAGCAGTCAGAAATAGGTAGCTCTTCAACTTCGTACTTTATTGAGGGGCGTAAAGAGGGGTTATCTGCACGGAAGAACGCGAAATAAAATTGCCACTTCACGATGAACGAACAATTAACAATTTCTTGCACGTTGATCTTTTTGCCGATTTCACGAAACACGGTGAATAACGAACTTTTTTCACGGCTGCACGTGAAATAAAAATGGCAAAACACGTTGCACGAAAATAACCCTTTACCACCCTCTTTATTTGGCCTTTTGCAATTTTTTATTCGAGTGTCACTGATAAGTCATTTGTAGACGAAACACGCGTCTGACGTACACAATTATAAGCCTGGTGAATTTGATGATTTTTCATGTATCGTGTTATGAAGTATAAAATAAGGAAATAAATCATTGAGCATAATCCGTATCCCTACTCTTCACTTCTTAATTGTATTGGCAGTTTACTTAGTATGCGGAAAGAAGCCTCTTTAAAACAATACCATTTTGAATTCTCCTTGTTGATGACTCGTCTTTGATGAGTTGACGCTGACATACAACTGTATGCTTCTCGGCGCAATTTGAACGCATGGTGTACCATTGATGATCGACAGCAATAACACAGGAATTGTCACCCAAGAACGCATAATTGTTGTCTGTAATAGGTTTCGATATCATTTAGAAAGAGACAAAATAATCTTAGAATTTTAAAACTCGCAATCTGCTTAGTATTAATAACATGTATCAAGCATTTTTATTCTGAAAATCAGAACTACATTTCACATCAGTTTTAATACAAAGAAGGAAACCAAAAACCATAAGTCAAAGAAGAAAAAAACATGATCAAGAGAAAAACGAGAGAAAGACAAATAATCCATCCACAACTACAAAGATAATGATTGATTGAGCAAGAAGAGCACTACTCAGAAACAGGGAATCGACCAGGTGCTTCAGAAGGGTAAATAGTTCATACTCCACTATTATCGGTTACAGTTTTACTCCTGTCAGATTCATTTTTATTTTTTGTATAAACAGACCCATTGAACATGACTAAGCTTTATATACAAAAAAATGAACTTAAATGAAAGCTAAAGATTTGATAGGATTAAAATTAGGCTAATCTCTTCAGAATGTAAAACAAATCGAAATTATTGAATATATCGTCAAACCTGTTTATAAAAGTCACCCCTTGGACCAAAGAAATGTGACTTTATAGAAATGGTTACATTTGAATTGAGGTTCAAAATGCATAGGTATTTCTACATCGAGACAATAAGAGGATGGCCTGACAATACAGGTTTTCGCTTAAAAGAGGTGACCTTTATAGCAGGTTTGACTGCTCAATGATTTGTGTTTAATCAGTTGTCGAACATAACAATAAAATTCATCAAGAAATATGAATTATCGAAAAGTTTGACATTTGTAACTGCATATGTTTACTCAGAAGTATAATTAATCATGAACCCAAAAACAAATGAGACATAATAGCTTTCGTTGATATCATATCTTTGGTTGTTTCTGTTGGATTTATTCACAGTTTTTATAGAGTCAGGAGTATTTGCAGTTTGATATACTATATGGACACTTGTCTCGTGTTCAAGACTGTATGTTGCCCTTAAACAGTTTTGTCTTGCTTTTTTTTTTCTTTTGTCGTAGATTTTTGATATAACTCGCATCTGATATTATTGATTTTCTTCGGGAATGTATCGTAGTAGGGGATGATATTGTCAAAGCACATTCGAAGCTTTTAGATCACGAGGGAGTAATTAAATGACAACTTAATTTGTAAATTTGTCAGATTACGTAAAATAAACCTTTAATATCATTGTTAGCATTTTTTTTTTCATTTCAACGCTAAGTTTAACGGCATTTCTGAAAACATCTTTAGATAATATTTTACGGACACAAATTGACAAGGCCAATTTGTATAATATTCCTGCAGGGTATTTCCTATTTTTAATATGTAGAATCAGCTGACGTATGTTGATTCTGCCTGGTATCAAATAAATAATAACTCATATTTAGATACTCCTGAAATGAAGGAAATAGTGATATTAAAAAACTAATTGTAGCGAAAGTTTAACAATGGAAATGGAACTCTTCATTAAAAAGGTACAAAATAGCCGAGTTGCCATATTTGGATTGCTTATTTTTCTATACTCCTCACACAAAGATGTACAAAGTTATCAGGAAGAACGACTGAAATCCATAAGTATTACGGTCATCATTACGAATTGGTAGACCGATGCGATATGTTCGTGTCCAACATACTAGCGATATGTTTTCGCAGTATAATCTTAAATTTATCGAGCGTGTTCTATTTCCGATTGCGAAATTTTGACTTAGTGTGGATTCGCATGCATTTATAGCAGGAGACGCTTACTCTGTGGACGCATTAAAACTCTCTTTAGAGATGACCAGGATATTGACGAACGAACGTACGAAAGCGTAACTTGACGAATCGTACGAAACGGGAGCTGCTGTTTATACATAGTACATTAAAAACATAAATCTAACATAAAAATGCATATTGAAGTTAAGTAATTCGCATCGTCTGTATTAATAAAATTGAGAATGGAAATGGGGAATGTGTCAAAGAGACAACAACCCGACCACAGAACAGACAACAGCAGAAGGCCACCAACAGGTCTTCAATGCAGCGAGAAATTCCCGCACCCGGAGGCGTTCTTCAGCTGGCCCCTAAACAAATATATATACTAGTTCAGTGATAATGAACGCCATACTAAACTCCAAATTGTAAAGTTTACATGAGATATTTCCTGTCTCTGTATAGCTAACTCCTCGCGTTGAATTGATGATTAATAACGTAATGTTTTCTACAATAGAAAAAGGTGCATTCGATATACAAGACTCTGTTTTGACAATGAGATTCCAAAAGGGATTTAAATGAGTTACGGAGTTAATACAAGGGTGATAGCATAGATATTTACGCTTTTTATATTGATATGATTGATGATCAATTTCAAATCAGTTTTTTTTCACTTATTTTAGTTGGCTTATGCCCCCAGACCAATCGAATTAGGCTGGATGTAGAGAACCTCTGCCCAAATTAAAAAAAAATGTGTAGACAAAAGAGTTTTTTACGAATATTTTGTGATAAAAAGTTGATACTTCAAAAGAAACTGAAGTTACGTATATTGATATATTGATAATCAAATTGGAGTTGCAACTCGGCTATTGCATCTTTGATGCTCATTACATTTACTAATTGCAAATTTATACGGAAATCAACGAGTTTAAAGACCGAAAACAACAACAACAGACTCATGTAAAAACGCTCAAATTATCCAATAGACCACGTCACATGAGTTGCATACTGGTTAGGGTCCAACTTTCTTGGTAAAAATGGATATAACTCTAGGAAAGTTGGACCAGATCATCCTACTCACGCGTACACATTGATATAGAGTACGTTTCACCTTGCTGGGTATCACATTATGGTAAAATCTGATAAGATAAGAAGAATATCATTTTGAAATTTTGATTTAAACATACTTACGGCAACTAATTTTTGTGACATGTTTCCAACTACTATGGCTTGTTCTCTACTCATGTTGAAATTGGGACAACACTTAAGTTTTTGATAGGTACAAAGTAACTTATTTGCCAGTGATTTCATGTTAACTGTTTTCTACACTATACCAATAGGTATATAATTAGCCGAAATAATTTCTACATTCTAAAAGTTAATAAAAAAAAAAGACCTATAGGTTTATTATTGGGAGGACAGAAATACCATATTTTCCCACGTGAGCTTAGCAAAACGGAAAGGCAATATAGCAACATTCCGAAATAAAAAAAGGTTGACGTACCATCATCTAAATGATATTTATTATCGATCATATCATTTGCCTTCTGGGTATTTTGTGAAGTCAATGAAACTTGAAATACTTAAATAATTGAAACGTATTTCAACAATCGCAAAAAAAAAACATGTCAGAGGATGCCATGAGTATGTGCATATTGGAGATGAATTAAAATTTATATAGTTGTAAGTATTTAAAGTTGTCTTCGTGTGCGTTATAAAAGGACCCTTGTGTCAATTCAAATCCCCTTTAAAAAAAAACGTTATTTACTCTCATGACTAGTGGTTCTTTTTACACCTAATAACTTTTTCCATCCTCAGAGGTTGACAAATATGATAAATAAAAAACACCCAAAAATCATTATTTTTAACTGGTTCAAAATGCCATATGTTTTTTTTTGTTTTTTTTTTGTAAACTGAAAGATTTTTTTGTTTGAAATTTGATTGATTGATTGATCTATTGTTTGTTGCTAAACGCCCAGTGGCAAATAGTTCATCCATGTCTAGGACGAGAACAAATTAACAATTAATACATAGTAATAGAGCCCGTAGGTCGGGTAAGTTTAGATTGCATTTGCAAACCGAGGGTATATATTGGAAAAGAAATTTATCCTTGCAAAAGGCCACCTACGTTTACCTCTCATAAAATTGTTGCAAGGGTTTGACAATCTCTCTACATGAGGCATCGGATTTAACATCCCCATTCTGTCCGGACGTAGCTGCGTACTTGTACATCCCGCATTGCCAAACGGACGACCCACTTTGGGAAAAGGTTTTACTGCGGATCGGAAGAATACCTGTAATGACTATATTTCTATTTCCCAGTCACCCTTGGCGGGGTGTGGGGAGGGGGGAGGGTGTGGTAGGGGGGGGGGGAGTGGGGAGGGTTGAAACTTTAATACCTAATAAAAAACATTGAACAAACATACAAACCGACAACAGTTATTTAGTAATCTTATAACTTTAAAAATTGTTTCAAATCTTCCAAATCCTGAATCAATATTTGTTTGAGCATTGCGAAAGTCGTCGGTGCACTCAAATAATTCTATGTGTGATTTACATTTCATCATACTTTCAACAATAATAATCTCATTGTATCGTAGTATATATGTACACTTACGGAGACTTAAAAACGTCTTTCATATATATAATTAAAACCTTTTTAAGATCGGTATGTTTTATGCGTTTCGTTCTATTATCATGATTACATGCCATCCAAATAATAACATCGTTAAGTTTAAAGTACGTTTTTAAAACATACAATTACCGCTCCTATTACGTTCGTTCGTCGAGATACGTTCGTTCGTCAATATCCTGGTCATCTCTATTTTGAAGTTCATGCCATTCCCTAAATGTTTGCTTGTTACCACGAATCATATTCTTAATCGGTTTATGAGATTTGAACATCAATAAAGTTTTGTTGCCTTAATATATGCTCTTTATAATAATAAAATGCAGGTGTTTAAACTGAGAATTTTTTATCGTAAATACTTGTTCATACACACATTACTATAGTAAGGAACTACGAAATATCACAATGTTTTTTAAATAAAGAGAAATCATCACAATTTCGGTAAGTCACTTTGGATCTTCAAGATGAATATGCATACAATGTAGATTCTATAGAACAAATCCACGGAAAGATGAAATATTGGTTCTTTACAAGCGTTAATTTGTACCTTTGCTCACGGCCACAATATTAAGGAAAAAATCCTGAAAATTGAAAGTAATCTTACCGTGAGAGAACGTCTGATACACCCTTTTAGATTAAGATGTGGGTGTGTGTTGAAATAACTGCTTTGTCTCTATATAACGTATTTAAAGCCCCCTTCACATACACGAATTTTTCATGTGAGACCTTACGGATCCGGATCGCACAAATTCACGGATCCTTACGATATGGCCATTTTTATGATTGCTTTAAGATTTGTTACGATTTATAACAATATATTTACGGCAAAATTCCGCTATTTGTAACCAGTTGTCACGGATAACTACGAGCAACTTACGGGATTTTACGAGTTTATTACGGATTGGTCCGAGTATATGATGGAATATTACTATTCATCGAAACTTTAACGTCTAGTTTACGACATGTTTAAGCGTTGTTACG